AAAGAAACCGGGAAATAAATACACAGAACTTCTCGATACGGGCTAGGCGCCGAACGGGGTCATCCTTGCACAACTCCCCCCACCCTGGTCCTCTCTAGCGGCTTGCCTTGCGTGCAAATACCGCTTGCAGCGACAAATGCAGACGCGAGGCAGAAAGGCAGTCCTGCTTGCTTCCGAAGCGCTTACCAAATCGTCGCACAAACAAGAGTCGCTTTTGAAAATCAATGCCACAAGTACACGGGTACGGAGCCGCAGAAGCGTCACCGCTTGCGCGGGATCCCCGGAGCCAGGTGGCTTTGTTGCTCATTGCAGGGTAGCCATGGAGCTCTTCTCTGCAGGTTGAAGGCTGTTTTGGGGGGAAATCCCTCTTGTGAGTTATTCTTACTGCTGTCGACCAGCGGGCGCTGGACTGGAGAGGGTGACTGTTCCCGCGACCCTGCAAGCTTCAGACAGCCTTGGGATGCGAGACTGAGGTGCTTCTGCCGTAAATTTGGGCAGAAATACGCACGTGCAGCAGCAGTATTGATCCAATCAGAAGACTCTTCATTTTCAGGTAGACAATACTTTCATTTGCTTTTGTCCAAGTCCAGTCAAAATCAATACACAGATCCCCAAAGGTAAAGTTTTTGTGACCTGACATACCGAGATCCACCTAATCTACCTATTTCTCAATTTATCTTGAAGCCCGCTGTTTACTTTGGTCTATTTAAGCCAGCGCTGATATTTCATTTCACACAGACAATGATTTTCTGAGATAGGGCATAAAAATTGTTCAAAGTGACTAGCCTAAATTTTACTTTAAACTCAGCCTTTGATATTGCTAACATTTCAAAATAAATATTAGAAAAGTAGCTCCAAGAATGCAGAACTATCAGTATTCAGCCTTACACAACTGAAGACACATTTGAGTTCCTTCACTATAATTTTTTCTTTGTAATTAAATTACATAGTCATCTTAACTTCCAAGATTATTAACACCCTACATGTCCATGGTAGAATTAATCTGAAAGACTCAAAAGAGTTTGTAAATTGAGCAAATCTGGATACAAAAATATTTGCTCAGATTCTGCTTATCACACATGAAGAGATTTCACAGTTCTTCTCTCCATTAAATATTTTTGATACAGTCAGGCTGTGATGTAGAAGAATCTTTACACTTTATACACCTTGGTCTGGTAAGACAGTTTCATCCACTGTACTTCCAGTAGATGAAAGCTACTCAGCTGAAAACAACCTGAAAATAAGCCCAGAGTGAGAAGAACAAGTAACTGATTTAGCAGTAGCTGAATCATGGAGGTTTCACCTCTCCTTGCTTCCTGTGAGTCAAATGTTCCAGTGAAACTTCTTAAGAATAGTTTTATTTCTGTATGGTGACTGGGCTAGTAATACAAACCCACTGTTCGCAATATTAATGCTCCTTTTCAAAATCAGAGACAACAGACAACTGTAGAATGACTAGGTTTGCCTACAAACCTGGCATCAAAGGAGGAATACATTTGCAGCCTCATACAGAGCACAAGTTATAGTGTCAATCTTTAAACCAGGACCATAATTTTACATACAGTCTGGAAATGCCAGCTGTTAGTTTCCAGTTCTAATTACTATCATACGATACTATTTCACAGTGTATCCCTGGTCTCCTAACTAACTTTGCCAGTACCACTATACTTCATGTGCTCAAACTTTGCAAATAGCAAGTTTACCACATTCTCTAACCACTTCCACAATCTTGACTCTTTCAAAGGGCCCCAGAACGCTGCAGAAAAGACTGGTGCAGAAACTAACAGAGATGCAGAATCCAGAACAAAGTGCAGAGCAAGGGAGTACTGGAACATCTTTCTTGGAAACTGGAACTTGCCTTCACAGAGCTCTCTCTCTGCCAGGAACTCAGAGCATTTTTTAAATATTTAAAATAACAGTAGTAATAAATACATAAACAAGTAGAACCAATATAAAGAAAAAATGCAAGGCAAGACAAAAGCATGTGGAATAGTGCATAAAGAGGAAGCAGCAAAAATTATGTCCTGTAAAAGACGGTTAGATTTGAAGATAAAGTCAAGGTAGAGGTATTATGTTTTTATTAAACTGTGTATTAATCTGTATTAAACGGTGTACTTTTATGGAAGGTATGAAACTCTGCAGGATTCTGAATCCTGTGGTGCATGGATTGTTTAGCCTGTGCAACTGCAGCACCTCACAGTTACCCTTGTTCCTCTCCTCATCCCTTATGGCTACAGCTACCTGTTGCCACTTGCCTTTGCTTATGAGTAGTAACCGAACAGTGAACTGGAGAGGCCCAGTCTCAACAGGTGCTCACATACACAAACAGCAATCAGAAGAGGCACGGCAGAGATCCCCAGAACACCAGCTAGCCAACAAACTCGGGCACCAGCGGGCTGCTCCCTAGGGTCACTTGTAGGCATTGATTCCTGATGGCTCCAAGTTTCTGCTTGGATCTGCATACTACCATGTGAGAGACAAGGATGTGATAAACCATCCCCAAAATAATTCCAACATGGATCAAGCTACAGGCAGAGCAGTTCAAGCCCAAACTCTGTCCTGCTGATGTTCCTGCCTGTTACTGACACTTCAAAGTGGAACTTCAGCAACTCTGAGAACAAAACAGCATAAGCCAAAGTACTTAAAAATTCCCAATAGAGAAGTTTCTAGAAATAAAGACTATGAGACCCCCAGTTCAGGTAACTAATAAAATTGGTCACCATGATACCCAACCACAGTAAGACATTCTGTAGGCAAGATACTTCAAAACTCAAAAGTAAATGAAGACATTACTATAGATAGCAGTAAACAGATTCAATAGAAAAATGCTATATGCTGTAAAACAGCCTAAGTTTTTGGGTACTGAGGATTTACAAGATAAACTCAAGTTGTGTTCTTAGGGGGGGTATCTCTGTGGTTGTCCCACTTAACACCAAACATCCTCCTTACAGATAAATGCTTTGTGGTCATCCATATGCTATCTGCATTCCTTTCTTCAAAAGTGGTGGAGAGAAGAACATAAGAGATGAGAGAAATGTCATCCTTTTTCTCTCTTTTTCTTAACTAAAAGAGGAATTCAAGATAAAGTGTGTGTGTGTATATATATATATATATACACACGTACCTTAAATAAGAGAGATACTTACACTACACAAAAATTCTCATCTGGTGCCAGCCTAGGCTTCAAAACTGTGGATATAGTAAGTGTAGAATGGCTCACACACAGGCAGTAATTTATACATTAAGATAAACACAGCTATAAAGAAATTTCCAGATGCTAATGAAAACAGATTTTAAGGTCAATTATATAACACACACACAGAGAAAAATGCAAAACAAAAGCATTGCTTACACAGTTTTCTCCACACGAACTGAAACAAAAAAACATATCACAGAAGTTTATGACAATACTTAATTCTGTACTGAAGGCCTTCAGATAAAAACAGTAATAAATGTGGTATAAGAAACTATAAGGAATAGGAAAAAAAAGGATTCTATTTTGCATTGCAGTAAATAATATGCATGGAAAACATCAAAATAATCTCACCGAGCACTTCCTGTAAACACACAGAATCACCTTTCCAAAACGTTTATTTTTACACACATCACAAAAGACAGCCATTTCTGGCTTTAAAATCATACTGTGAGTTTTATTTCCAAATTAACTCTTAACATACTCCACAACTTTAACTTCCTGACACTCAGATAACTCTATGACGCCTTTTTTTAAACAGATGCTAAGACAACTTTGGAGGCTAAGCCAAACTAACTGTATTTGTTCAAGCATTTTTAGTAGTTTACTTTGTTCTAAGTAAATGCATATGTAAAAATACCCATTTTAAAGAAATACACACAATGAGAAGGTAATACTTAGATTCTACACTTCATTGAATCAGACAGATACAAACTCATAAAGGGACAGGTGTTCACTTTCTAAACAGCAGTGGTAGCTTAAGTCATTGTTCCCTTTGGTTGCTTTCATGCCTTTCCTACCAAAAGTTTCCAGTTCCCACCTCTGTCAACAGAATAGCTCATGCTGAATGCTCACTGACCTGGTTTAGAAAAATTTAACTGAGTCAGCTTACACAGTCTGAACTAGTCCAGCTGATTTGGTCCAAAGCAGATAACAGAGCACTGACATGAATTCAAATGACAGCTGTGGGTACAGTGGCATCTGGCAAACAACCATAAGAGCAGGTAGAGATGGTGAAATCATTCCAGCATGTTTGGAAACAACAAAGCACATTCTGGACTTAGCCTGGGAATCTAAAACATATCAGGTACACATTTGTTTGTTTAAAAACCAAGCAAACCCCCAAGTACTTCCAATACAGTTAAGCAACAAAACAAATGCTTCTACAGTAGCCACTTATTTTAAAGATTTTGCAATTAAAAAGCAGTTTATATTTCATACAGGATTTGACATTGTTTGTATAACTTAAAAGAAATATGCTGTCATCATAAATTATTTGCCTGATAAATATTTAATTGTAATAAAATGTCTACATTTAAGCACTTTGGTGTGAAGAAAAAAAATCTAAACAGGATATTTTAAATATTTGCACTTTACAACTTCCTCCTTCCACATATGCACTCATAAAATATCATTTATTCAGAAACACAAAACACTTTTGAAGAGAAAGATAGGTAAACAATAAGAAGGTTCAGCATCTTGCATATTTGCACATGATTCATATTATTATTGCACCATGACACCTTCTATTCAGAATAAATTTAGTGCTACTGATCAGTAACAATTTCACAACTGTGAATAGAATTGAAGTTCTCAGTCTCTTTGGAAAGGCCAATGATCGAACAGCATTTGTCTGACTAACCTGGAGGAATCCTTCTCTCATCAACAGGTTTACTAATATTTTTTAAACCAGTGAAGTCATCCTGTATCTCATCACAATGAGTCCTTCAGGGCTGGTCCATCAACTGTTAGTGAGTTAATTTTCAGTGACAACAATGAAAGCTTGACTGTGCTCGAAATTCTTGCTCTTTTCCTTTGAAATTGCGACACCAATCAATTTTTGTGTCCGATGAGAAGACAGACGTTCATCAGCTGAAATCAAGCAATTCAGCTCTTCTTTGTTATCACACAGCTAATACAACAATTAAATTTGGTGTTGAATTGTCCAAGGAAGTGTCAGCCTGAGCTACTATGGCTACCATGGCCGATACAACCAACAGAGGAGATGGCAGGTCAGGTGTGGGAAGTACAGAAAGCACATCACGGTACCCTAGCTAACGATTCCTGCTTTCTAGGGAGCTTGCCCTACAGGCTTGTTCAATGGCAGCTCTAATCTCCCTGTTCTGTTTGTTGAACAGCAGAGAGAATTCATGAGGCTGCTCGTGACTCTAACAAAGTTCCACATGTTCAATATAAACAAAGTCAAAGCGCTAGTGAATTTTGATTCTTGAAACAACTGGAAAAAAAAGTATTATTCTCAAAGAAAAAAAAAAATTACCTCAGTTGTACCTCCTCTTCTACCTCAAACATCATGTTCTTTTTGCACGGATATACAATGGCTCCAAAGTGACAGGCACCTGAATCCAGCCTACCAATAATGCTAAATTAATTTGCATTGTTGGTAAATAAATTAATGTTTAATTTGCTAAATTAAACACTATGAAATACTTCATATAGAATATGTTGCTACACAGTCATTTAAAAAACATATCAATTGTATGCTTGGAATTGCTCGACTTGGCTTTTTTTGATACTGACTGTGAAGTTGTTAGTCCAGACCTAAAGTTAAAGAAACAAAAAAACACCAGTAAGAGGTTAAAATATACAATGCATACCTACACAAATTTTACAACACTGAGTATTTTTCTAAACTTTATTATTTTAAAATAGTTGTGTACTCAAGTTCCTAGAAAATCCTTACCTTTTTGTTCCTTGTGATGGATTTGTGCATTGCTGTCCTCTGCTTAAACCTCCTAAAAAGTAATTGGAAACAATCAAAATTAATTACTTTAATAAAGAAAAAATGCTTCAGAAATTACATACATGATAGAACTTTTAAAAGAACAGTTTTGGGTAAAGCTTTTCTTTCCTGTTTTTTTTTAACATAACTGAATTTAATCTGTCTCAAGCACATAATATTTTATTATCTGCAGTTTGAGTACTGTAGTTTATATTAACAATTTTAAAAGAGAAAACCAAAAATCCTTTAGTTTATTGAGTTCTAAGGGATTAATTTGAACCTTGTAGTTTTCAGAAAAATTTCAGCATAACATAGTTGATTTTCAAGGTGGCTGTTGAAAACTGTATTTTTAAATTTTTTATCCACTGGGGTGTGGGGGGCAAGAATCTTTGCCAACAGCAAGTTTTCATTTAAAACAAAGCCTGTTTGCGCATATAACAGTACTGCTTATAAAATTTTCTGCGTAAAAGATTCATATTGAAGTCTTAATTGTGTTCTGATAATTCTAACACACTAGCAGTCTATTTCCTCTTATAAAGCTCACAAGTTAGATTAGGGACAAGGTACTTTTAAGCAGATACTTAACTACCTGCACATGTCCTCTAATCTGGCCAAAGATTAACTCTTCATAAAAACCAGAAACTACTTGAGTAAATATGCTACTGGTTTGGCATGTTACAGGTGCAGTTATGTGATATATTTTATTAGCTGTAAACCAGGCTTGCAAGTTCCTGCCTTTATGCTTTAGTTCCCCACCTCTCTGTTTTTGCCAGCAGTTTACATAATGGAACTTTTCTGTCAACTGAATCTCTGAAACAATCCAGGTTGAAGACGTTTGCATTGATTTTTGCTTAAATCTCAGTTGCCTTACAAACGCCGTTCTGAACGTGATTTGGGGGTAGCAAACATGCAATTTACAGAAATGAGCAGTAATCCCTATGTCACCGTTGTGGCAAATGAGAATGCACTGTCTAACTACCAGCACATTTAGAAATATAGTTTGTCATGAAAACTGATTTGATTTTTTTTAAGTAAGAATGTTCACTCTTACACAGGCCTTACTCAAATGCACTAGTTACAAAAATCTCAAAGCCCTGAAAAGTTCAAAGTATACCACTTCCAAATTATTTTAATTGTACAAGCAGATAATTTGAATAATCAAATATATCCTAATGTGCATACTCACCAACTCTATTTGAGTTTTCCATATTATAAGTCTTAGTAGGAAAATCTTTTTTTTCTGTCAGCTCCTGGATAAGGCCTTTATTTAAGCAGACATCCACGTGTCTGTTAAATGACACAAGACTGTTGGTTTTCTGTTCTGAATTACAAACTGGACAAACAAGAACACTGTCTCCTTTGGCTTCAAAGAAACAGGAGGAACTAGTTTCTTCTGTATGTTCAGTCTTTTCAAAATGGTCTTCACTGTCTTCTGAAATTCTTTTGGGTAAGAGACACTGTTTCATACACACGTTTCTAGCTATGTCACTGAGATTGCTAGGCTGTCTTTCTCTGTGAGGTTTATCAGATGTTATCTGAGTGAATTTTTCTGTGCTACTGCTAGTACAGCTGTCAGATGTACTTGCAGACTGGTCTGTTCCTGCTAATTGATCCACTTTATTTTGACATTCATCAACATTTTCACTTTTAATTTGTGGAAGAAAGTTAAGTGTACTTTCTCTCGAATTGTCATTCTTGGGTATTTCCATGTTATCTTTAACAAGACTCCCACTGAGGCACTCATCAATATGCCTATTAAGCTCTTCCAAATTATTGCTGCTTTGCTCCTCAAAGCAAACGGGGCAGGTGAAGATCTTACACACATTAGAATTCTGTAAGTCTGTGACTTTCTTTGTTTCTTCAACAAAATGTGCTGATGATTTCTTCTCATGAAAGAGCTGCTTACCTACAGTTTCATTTGGAGGATTCTCACTGTTTAGTTGCCTTGCAGCTCGCTTTTTATCAAAGAAACTCCCTCTGGGAGATGCTTCTGAATTTTTTGTGAAACATTCTGGGTTGGACTTCTCTGCATGAAGCCTAAGAAAACTAATTTCTTTTCCTGATTTTAAGAAACTTGTAATGCTTTTTTGTTGGTACTTCTTCTCTTCTTCACTTAGAAATCCTGATACTCGTACACCTAATGATGAAAAACAAACCTGTAATACCAATTTTATGAAAACTTAATACTGATTCTTAATTAACACCTTTTGAGGTATACATCCACTCAATAAAGGTGCATTTTATCTCTAAACAGAGGCTTTACTACATGCAAATGCTAACAATGGATCACAAGGTCCATACAATTTTATCAGCCCTGAACACTTGCCCAACCGTATTAATTTCAATATGTATGAAGTTTTAACTGATTGCACCATACACGAAGCTATAAACTTAATAAAGTTAGATAGAATTCAGTCTGAAAGAGACTTTGCATGATGTTTCCCCACCAAAATATTTTTTTTCTTCAGCATATTCTAATACCACAGACAAATAAGTTTTATATATCACTGAATGGTTCAAGCAGAATGTTTAAGCACCTGAAACACATGGGTCTTAGAATCAAAACATGGAGTTTACTTTTGACAGGAATTTTCAAGTTTCTTGTGGAACATAGCATCTTCAAATCTATAAGCACTTTTACTTAAAGCCTTTGTTTCTAAAAGAGCTTATGGACAGAAACTTCCTGTTGCTGTGGTGCAAAGCAGGTTTAAAAATTCTTCTAAGGCAGCAGAATTAAGCACTGCTATGTGTTAAGGTTCTACTCTCATGCCAATGTGTATATTGTTCCAGGGATAACAGGTGGTAGGAAAAGTACAGCCTCAATTAGTATAACATTCCTGAGTCACCATTCAGCACTTCAGACCTGTTTCACTTTGGAAAAACTACCAGGGTAATGGAGAAAGGATAAATCCATTTACACTGATTTTACTTCAAAGTACGGTCTGCTACTTTGATACACTATAAGATCTAATTCTGAAAATGAAGAATGAGTTTCAAATTTTTACCCATAAGTCTTATCCGTAAAGGGTGAGGAGCAACACTATCAATTTCTGTTCCTAACAAGTCTTTAGCAACAGCAAATATTTCCTCCTCAGTAGAAACAGAAGACAGCACAGTTGAAGCTCTTGTTTTCACTTCAAAGTTCACATTCTTTAGCTTCAAGGTAACAGTTTTACCCTAGGCAAAAAAAAAAAAAGAAAAAAAAAAAAAAGGTTAAGCATGTCATATATGGCACAGAAACAACTATTACATAGCATCTATATAAGGGCCCTAAATCCACAGTCAAGACTGTGTCCTTATCTCTGTACAGCAAGGGGCATTGGCAAGAATTTGTCTGCAAGATTCTGCACTTGCTCCTAAACTGCTGCCAAAGTTGAATTCTCTGAACTGGGCCATTTGGCTATGGTTCCCAACAGACCATCTGCCACCAGTGCATGTTCAATAGATTTCATGCTCTGGCTACAGTCACAACTTCTACCCTGTCTACAAAAAATTATTTCCTCCCTTGGAAACTTTCAGTGCTAGATATCTTAACTTTGCTGGAAAAGCTACTAAGGATGCCTAAATGATATCCAATTAAGGATTCACTGAAAACTTCCTTCCTCCTGCATGGTGCTATCAGAACCATACACACAACATCTGTGTTTGGCACAGATATTCCCCTGGCAACACCTTCTAAACTGTTTGTGTGATTTAGCGTGTCCATCCAAAGGTAAATAAATGGCACTCCTCTTGTTTTGGTGCCTTTGTAAACTTATCTCTTTGTCCTTCTTAGCTGATTTCCCTTTCAACCTGTCATCTTTTGAGACAATCTTTCATGGCTGAAGAAGACTAATCACAATTCTTTTAGGTCTTCAGTGTTATTCCTTACTTTACCATAAAGACTTCTATAGAAAATATGAACTATTATTTCTAGATAATAAATAGAAATTTGGGGAGAAGGAATACAGGGACTGTTCCTACCATTCATACCGTTGAATGGTATGAATAACTTGTCAGCAAGTTTGGGACATGTTAACTTATTAAACTACACTACTGGCTATTGACTGGATCCTGTATGAATACAGGACAGAAACACAGTGTTTTAAATACATTATTATTACATGATTGACCAAAGTACAGCTCACAGACAATCAACTCTAGTATTTGGTTATAAACATTGCTTTTAGCATAAAATGTTTATATGCTAAATAACTTGGTTAATTAGTTTAATTTTTTCCATGCCTATTACTAGATAGCCACCTGAACAGTATCGAAATGCTACCTAAATCATTCTAAACATCCACAAATTAAAGAATGGAGACTTCTAAAGATAGCTTGCATGCTATATGATGCTGCTGAAAGCATTCACACTAACACTGCATTTAATAACTTTGAGTGCAAAGTGTTGCCTTTTTGCAAGTAAACAGAGAATAATGTAAATACCTTAAGTCCCTCCTTCTGTAGCTCTTGGGCAAGGTCTCTGCAGAGTTCTCGACACAAGCTGTACTGGTCTTCTGCTGTGTTTATTTCACTAAATGTTCTAAGATAAAAGATACGATCTTTTTTTCAGTATGAAACCTAGAATTTGTTCAGTGGCTGCCATCTAAAAGTATTTTTTGTATGGTTAAACAAAACTACATCAGAAGAAGGTTATACAGGTTTGAATGTTTCTTCAAGGAAAAATTAATATTAATACAAATATTATACAGAAAGATTTGTGCACACTTATGTTTTTCAAAATGCTTGCAAAGCCCTTCAAATAATGAAATAATCTGACTTTCAAATTTTCATGCACTATTTGAAAATGTATCAGATTTAAGGTCATTAATGCTTAAATATTTGCAAGAGAGAATACTAACACCAACTGAATTCATGGAGCCAGCCAACTTATTTGTATTTAATCTCCTTTGTACAGTGCTGTGTAACATCAGAAGAAAGAAGGGATTAGAAAGTCAACATCAGAGCCAAGTATCAGAAATAAATAATGCAGATGCTAAGAAAAAGATGCCAGCTAGGATAATTATGTCTAGCCTCAGAGGAGGAAAAACTATCTTTCTGCCAAAAATGTTGCTAACTGCCTTTGCTAAAGCTTCTTAGCAGGGGAATTACAGTATTATTTTTTTGTTGTGCATCTGCTTTTTAGTAATAATGTGAGAGGAAAGGCAACCTTCAGTTAGTAGTGGTTTAAAGAGAAGTAGGAAGCAAAACTTACAGCCGCAATGTTATCCTGGCAATGCTGCAGTGGTTTACAGCATGGCAATGCTGCAGTGATTGGGAAGCTGTAAAAGTCCCAAGTTTGGAAGGGGCAGGACAGAGAATGCTATTTCAGGCCCATCTCTCCCCCCCATATAAATTAGTTTCATTATCTCAGCATCCCATTGACATCTCTGGTCTAAAACTGTTTCCCTTAGGGAAAAAAGAAGGAAGAAAGAAAAGCAGAAAGGTAAAATAGGCTACTCGGATTGTCTGTCTGTCTGCAAACCAGCACAAGACTACAGCCATAAATTTCTCGGCTCTGGTGGTACCAAATGTTACGGGGCTTACTTAAGCTGCCCAGAACTATTAAGTCTCAATAAGAATAAAAATCTTTTCTTATCTTCTTTTCTAATAAAAGAGAACACATGAGGGTAGGGCTAATTATTATGGTGCTCTACAGAGTCTCCTTGCAATATTTCCTTTTAAAAAGTGAACTGTTAGAAATTACATACACCACATTCTTAAGGAACTTTACATTGGTAAAAACTTAAAAGTTAGTAAATGTAACCAATTTTAGTTAACCATGCAAAATTATTGTCTGCTTTGCAAGTCTACCTTATGCTATGCTTTCTATGCATGTGACTGCAGGCTACTAGACTGATAATGACATTAAACTGGAACATATAAAAAAAATTCAAGCCCATATATATTTCTACTCTGTATTATGGCTTAAAGACCACTTCGATGCATTAAAGGCATTGGAGAATCAGATGATAAGTAAAGAGAACACACAAACTGACAAAAGTACCTCCATAATATTCTGAAGCCAAGGGAAAAAAAAACAATGAAAGCTTGAATCTGACTTAGCGAGCTTGTTGTATATGTGTTTTTTTAACATGTATAAATACAGAATGAAATTATATGACTAACAAAAGTATACACTACTTGGCATTAAGTAGGTTTAGTGATTAATGTATTTTTTTCAATATTGAAGAGGCATACCTTTCAGTGCTCATACTTTTTCTTTCTCCATCCCTTTAAAAAGAAGAACAATTTATTATACTCAGTTTACCTAGAACTGTTATCTTTTCAATAAACTCTGAGTCAACCAATCATGCTTCAATAACTAACAGCAATCTCTTCTCTAAAATCTGGATGTTAAACTTTTTCTACAAATCTTGTACATCAAGTTTAAGTGAATGCAAAATGGAGAATGTTTTTTAAAAAACCCTGAGGCTACTGTAGATGAACACATATATTAGCCATAGACTTCAATAAAAATAAACAGTTTGTAAAAAACCAACCAACCAACCAACCAAAAACCCCTAATAAAACTCCCCTCCCTTATCAGGAGGAGTCTTATTTAAAAACAAAACTAACTACAAATCCTGGGCTGTCTCACCTAGCTATAACTGTGAAGCACTGCTCCTGAACATACTATGTATATTTGAGTATTTGTTTACCTGAGAAATTAGTTTGCTTTCTGTCTAAATTATTGCCCATGTTAAAGGTGATCTGTTAAGGCTTTTTTTGTTTGTTTATTTCTGGTTTTAATTAGGTATCCTTTAACAACTCTTCTCCATATAAGGAGTTCCTCAGAGCATTTTCTTTTTAGGTCTTTCTTCTGTTTGTAAGTATTGGAAATTACAAATTTGGTATCCTTAGATTTTCCTAAAAGACAGTGGTCAAAGACAATGACCATAAGATGAACCATTTACTGAGGACTCAGGTGTTGGTAGGGTAAGGGCTTGCTTTCTTCACATTAAAATCACTGAAATCAAGTTGGTGCTAATAAAAACAAGACCAAGAAATACATTTCTTACACTACACCATTAAAAATGTGTTCCACTTCACAATGATAATCTTGGCTTTTGAAATGCTCCTTTAGTTTTGTTTTTTTTTAACGTACTGGGAGATTTCCCACCCTGTATACCTAAACAGGTTGAATAAAGGGAAAGAGTGCACCAATTATTAAAGGACGATTTGAGGTTGCTTAAAAGAAACGAATATTTGGAAACCCACATTTTATCTTTTATCAAGTCACCTCCCTAAAGTCAATCTTACTGCATATTTTGTTTCAAGTCAACATACTTCTGAAAATAAAAAAAAAAACAACTCAAAAGACTTGTGCTAGCACATTACTGGTCTACAAACTGCTAACTGTATATATTAGTTTGTAGTCAAATGGAAAAAATGGAAGATCTATTACTGTCAGAGAAGTAACAGAAAAAATACAGAATAGGTCTTTTGGAAGTACGTAAGACACTTTGGAACTCCTAATGAAACCAAATCATTGTCAAGCCATTTTAAAATAGAGTTTCAGCACATTGGGAAGGCTAGAAGGGTATTTAAGGAAGGAATATTTAAAAGAAAGGACTCAATCCTAAATTAAGACTCTTGGTTACACAAACAGCAAAATGCTATGTTTTCTTTTTAAGAACAAGTGTTCCCTGTTTGTATCCAGGACAGGCTTAGAAATGACACACATTATTGAAAAGATGTATTCACTAGTAAGCCTGATTTCTTCCCTCCCAAACAGGAGGCTAAAAGCCATTGAAGTAGTATGAGCTGTGAAGGAATAGATATGAAGAAGGATATAAAATCTTCAGTTCTATTCCAGCAAATTCACAAGTTGATATTACAAATATGTACATAAACACAATAGGAGATACAGAAACTTCACTTACTTTCATTAGAAATATGACAATTTACTACCAGAGAAGATCAGATACCAATGCGATTTTCATTACAATCAGATAATAATAAAACCCAATGAACATATATTGTTTTTATAGAAGAAACAGGACTGAACACCTCTGCTTAGGATAACTCATTTCTCTTTAGCTATTTTAGTAATTATGAGGTTATCCTAAATGATACTGACTTGATTTCTTGATATACGCTTATGCACAACTTCTCTGACAGACTTTTTGGATTTCATAGAATCATAGAATGGTTTGGGTTGGAAGGGACCTTAAAGATCATCTACTTCCAAACCCCTTGCCATGGGCAGGGACACCTTCCACTAGACCAGGTTGCTCAAAGCCCCATCCAACCTCGCCTTGAACACTTACAGGGATGGGGCATCCACAGTTTCTCTGGGCAACCTGTTCCAGTGCCTCACCACCCTCACAGTGAAGAACTTCTTCGTTATACCCAACCTAAACCTATCCTCTTTCAGCTTAAAGCCATTACCCCTTTTCCTATCACTACATACCCTTGTAAAACGTCCCTCTCCGGCTTTCTTGTAGGCCCCCTTTAGGTACTGGAAGGCTGCTATAACTCTCTCAACCTGTCTTCATAGGAGAGGTGCTCCAGCCCTCTGATCATCTTTGTGCTTGAGCAGGTCCACGTCTTTCCTATGTTGAGGGCCCCAGCGCTGAACACAGTACTCGTATATTAGACACAGGTGTACAGACTTTTGCTTTTTAATGTTTGGCTGTTGTGTGTACCTTAGCCGTAAGTATAACAATAACAGGTATCAGAGATCTTTTAAAATATATTAAACAAGCCAAATTTTCATATTTGTCAATAAAATATGTCTCATAATGTACAGTATGTAACATACAGAAGGAAAAATTTAGAAAAATGTAAACACAGGAGAAAAAAAAACACACCTACTTTTCCAAATGTGTTGAACCCAAACCAAGGGAAATATCCAAGAAATTACGCCAAGATGCTTCTGAAAAAAGAAGAGAAAGCAGTGCCCTCTGCTGGTAGAGTTCTGAGCAAGTCACAATTCCAAGGGCTTTTAACATCTTCTCCGTCACTTTTCCTATACCTGGCACCTGAAAAAGACTAAGTATCATTGTGCTGGAAACTTCCCATTTGCCGATCCAATACCATGAACAACTTAAATCAAACACAGATGGGCAGATTACCTAGAAAAGTACCTATCTTCAGTAGAAATCTTGCTTTTAGAACATATGGAACATACATGATTGCATAGTAAATGTCATGGTATCTCTTACCTTTCTAATAGGCAAATCTTTTAGGAAGTCTAGCACTGCTTGTCTCTCAGGAGCAATTCTGCATTGCCCATTAGGTTTATTACGGTCGCTGCACATTTTTGCTAACATTGTATTAGGTGCTATTCCTTAAAAACAAAGAAACAAACTCCATATTTTTAAAAAATACAAGACAATGTTTCATTTCAACTGTCCAGTATTTAAAAGCACAGGAGTAGCTTACACATTTGTCAAAGACTAAACATAAGCAAAAGCATGACAATAACCCATAACCAGATTTGCTGGAATTCTGCAAAAAAATTTTGTCATAGACATGTGAGAACGTGGTAGATATATGCACCAGGTAAAGTATACCTACTATTTTAAGATAGTCAGGGTAACACAACATGCACTAATCAGTCACGAGGGGTTAAATACCAAGTGTTTAAAAATAACATTAGTTACATAATTGAATGACTTCATGATGGTGATTATGGAAAGACAAAAGGAGATGTTTATAATGGCAGTTACAATGAACTCTTAATGAGAAGGAGATATTTCTTCCTTGTATTTCAACGAAAAGACTAAATTAATTTTGACAAAAAATTACCAAATTAAAGTCTTTTATGGGCTACCACTGCTATGTAGTCATTTAGAAATATATATATATTTTTCATTGACACTGGTAGGGATGAGGAGGGATTGCTCTTTTCTATCAAAGTAACTGTTTTTACAAATGAGCTCTGGGATAGGTTTAGCAAGAAAATCGAATTATTCTGCGTTACAGCCCTAGTAGTCTAAATTTTGATTTGCTTACTGATATAATGTATTATTCAAAATGGTAGAAGTCATTCTATTTATTATTGATTATCAGTATTTCTTCAATTAGCCTTCTAACTGTTTTTCATTTTTGGGCTTAACATCCCTGACTGACTTATAAAAGTCACGTCTGTTTTCTAAACACTAACTTACCCTTAGGAAGACAAAAATTAGTATTTTGTTACCCCTCATGAGATAACATAGATGGGAGGGGGGTCTCATCCTGCTTCTTCCTATTATTAGCTGCTCCTTTACCTCTGCTTACATTCAACACTTCCCTGGCCTTCCACATCTGCTTCATAAAGCTCAGCACTCCCTGATGCCTCACTGCCCTGGTTCACAAAGCAGTTCGGATGGCATCCAAACTAAGTGGCTAGGGACACACTTTTTTTAGTGACCTAATCCAGATTATTATCAAAAGAGTTGAAACTTACAGGTAGGTTGCCTAAAGTCAAAAGACGTAAAACTTGAATGGTAAGTATTTTAAAGGTAGTGAATAGTTTATTAACTTCAACACATATTTACTTAACTGAGAACTAGCTTTTTAATGAATTTTGATACTGCCTTGAGCAAGGAACAGTGTGGAGAACTGTTAGAAATACTTAGTAATGTGGATCTGCTCTTCGAACTAACAGCAATTTAGCAACCAGTGACAGATTTCACTATGACCACTGGCTTACGAGAACAATTTACATGAAGCACTAAACCCACAACCACCAGTGCTAAGATTAGCTCCTGCGTGCACTGGTCATTCTTTCACACTACTTGTATTTCAAGAAGAAATACGTAAAAAGATGATGTAATTGTTTCTATGATTAAAAAAACCCAAACAACCAAAACAGAGTGGCTTTGATAGCCATAAGATATCTTGAAACACTTGAAAGTCAGTCTTTGCAGACTTGCAAAGAGAGCATATTTCTCTGCAGCACAAGATTGCTGTGGCAATGCTAATTTCTTAATTAATGCCCTCTGAGATTAGAGTAGGAGACATCGTGGAAATACAAAGCATTATTATTATTATTATTATTATTATTATTATGATGTGTCTGAATACCTGCACTAGCAGTCAGTTGAGTTTTCTGCTCAATTCTAAAGCGAATTTCCTTCACAACTTCCTCTGCAGAAGTTCCAAAGACAACCGAATTTGCCACTGATTGATCTCTTTGTCCAGGGTGGTCATCCATCAGAGGTGTGTTGTCTTCAAACAGTACCGGTGAAGAAGAGTATCCACCTTCGTTAAATTTGGCAGACATATTTATATTATCTTTACGTATGTTAGATAGAAACACAAACAATTAATCCATCCATATAAAACATACACTTTATTGATGTCCTTCTGCAGTGGCTGAAGGGAATTCATTAGCAGTTTTTTTTTTTCTGTTTGGAAAAAATATATAATTATTTAGCCAAGCAATTGCACTGCTTTTTTGTTTGAAGAAGGGAGAGTCATAACTGCTTTTTTCTTAATATGATTTGAGCTTGGCTGAGATTGGAAGAATTGGCTAGGACACTGGACGTAACTTCCAGAAAATCAATAAGGTTTAATGGCCTGTTGCTGTAGCAGCAGAAAACCATCAAAATTTTGGCATTATTTTTGTTTCATATCAGACTAAAGGCCAGATACTCCCTTTTCTTGTGGAAATAAAAATCTTTTGCAGAATTTTTTTCAATGTCTCCAAAGAAAATTAGCGTTCTGGAATATGTGGTTCTAGAACCATCAGCCTGGTCAGCTTCCTGTTCTCAACTGCAGTCATGGTAGAACAAGTAATGTCAGCAGCCCTTGCTTTACTATTATGGTTTCCCATTCTTAGTGCTTGTTTGTGTTTCTGAAGAGCAAAGATATCAGAGAAGTATGAAGAGGCACATAGCTACACATCAGTGATACTCATTTTGTAAAGACTATGCCAGTTTGTTTCTTTCTATTCTATCAGTGTTTTTCAGTAGTAGTGTATCCTTGATTATCCTCTTAATGACTATTTAGATAATTTCTGAATACCTATAATATAAATGTTGCAGTTTTTGTACCAATCAACCATTTGTATGACTCCTCCTTTTTTATTATTCCCAATTGGGTATACAGTTGTGGATGTGGTTCCAACTCCATCTTCTAGAGCCAAGCGAAATCCATTCATATCTTAAGCATTACTGCAATTCCTGCAGTGTTCATTACTTTATATATTTTTAGTTTTGTAAAATAATCATGTAACTAGAGCTTACACACACTGGTTTTGCAGCCAATTTCTCATGTTTCTGATGTACAGGACTCAGTATTTTAGGAAACATCTTTGCAAAATATAAACAACCTTTAGAACAGTAAGTTTATTTATTCTATACCTCCTTAAGTCATAAGATTATTACTACTTATTTGCAAAATTATCGTGTTGAAACGTAAAGGAAAAAGACACACCTAAAACACTCGGTTTGGGTTTAGTAAACCTAGTACCACTTTTCACACATTTTACTCAAGTTAAAAAAAAATTAAAAAATCCTTCAAGTCCAAATCATTAGCAGCACACCTTTTATGCATGGGTGAGTAGTAAAGGAAGTTAACCTGTAAACTAACAAATCAGAGGTTGAGAGTATATGGGAAGACAAATTACGCAAGGACTTAAGAATCTACACTTTCAATGGGTGCAGCTTATCTGAAGCTTACATTATATGCATGTTTGACCGGTACCCCCTGCTCCTGACCCCTGGTAATGTGGTTAGCATAACTAATGCTGTTTTATGAGGCAAGCAGCCATTCTCTGGGACTGAGTGGGTCACGTACTCGTTCCCTTTCCCCTCTTTATCAGGCCCTGAAGGTCCTGTCACCAAGAAGACAAACCAAACAGATTTATTCTACCCCTCCCTACCGCCCTCAAGGTTCCTGGGCACCAGGCCGGTTACTCCCTTCCTTGCAGGCCTTCAAGGTCCCAAGGACCCGGCCAACCCGGTGTTGTCGATGACCCTGCCACAGAACAGGGAAGCGTAACAGCACCCAGAGCACTGTGTGTAAAACCAAGCAGTTACAAGTCCTAAGGGGAAACTTGGACCAGGACTGCTGCTGGACAGTGAGACCAGGACCCCCCAGTGGCTAGGGACACCTCCACCATCGTCTGCTTCCTCTGAGGATGGACGGAGTGATTAGAAATTATAAGTTAAGTTGTATTATAAATTCTGTATTACTTAGGTCATTAGAAATAAAAAATTAAGTTGTATTATAAATTCTGTATTATGCTACTTATAGATTGTACTACATTGATTCTGCTTTCAAAAACCCTGTGTTATTCTAATAATAAATTCTCTCTTATACTAATCATAATTTCCTGTTAAGAAAATAAAGCTTAAATTCTAACTACGTTTAGTGTCATCATCATTCTGCCAAGGATCCCTAAATTAAACCGTCTGTCCCCTCAGTGTCAGGTGACTGCATGAAAAGAGTAATTTGCTTACCTTTTTCTGTAGTCCCTTCTGTGTTAAAAAAGAATCTTCTCTTATCTTCAGGCCAGTTCAGTCTTTCCTCCAAGTGCTCTGTTATGTTCAGATAGGCTTCATCTAGGCCCATAGGCATAAAATTGGGATCATATTCGGTCAGTATTTCTCTAACCTTGATAAACACATAGTGAAAGTTTAAAGCCTTGCTGCTGTTAAGAGCAGATCTTGACACACAATTATGAGGTGAAAAAAGGTACTCTGAAACTTCAAGATGACCAATCTATATTAAAGATATTTATAGAACAAATTGTTTATTTCTATTGGAAAATTACTAGTACTGCTTCTCACAAGTAGCAAGATACCAATGGTTAAGTGAGAACTAAACAGACTTTGAGCAGTGTATTTTACTGCAGAGGTCATTAAGATCAGTGTACAAGGACTCCACAGGCACTAGGTTCACAGACACTGCAGTAACCACCTGAATAAAACTCTGGGGACCTGGGAACTCAGCAAAGCACATGAGGTGATGCACCTTTCTGTGCACTGCATGTCAGACATCCCATATGCAAAGGTTAAAAAAACCCCAACACTTAAGTTTTAAATTACATTCAAACTAAAGTTATAGCCAATGTTTTATAGCACTGGTTAATGCCACAGGAAAAACTTGTTAAAAAAATCTTTAGTGGTAAGTGCATCTTCCCAAAAGGCAACATAATAAATTAAATGATCAAAATAAAATCTCTACCTTTTCTCCTCTTTTTTTTAAACAAGGAGGAAAAATTGAATGCATCATGTTTTCTCTATCGGTTTTGGTCAAATTCTAAGGTACCACAACATTTGTTCACATGCACTTCATCTTTCTGAAACTGATTAAAGATAGGATTCACTGCTCAACTTTTAATGACAAAATGAAATAAATTTAAATATTTTCAATCCAAATTCCAAGAGAAAAATGTAACTAAAAAGCCAAATCAACCTGAACCTTTAATACTTTACCTCAATCAAACAACAAATGAAATATGTATCATGAAATCCAAGATCCTTAACAAGTTCAAACCCCTTCTGAAATACTCATACTCATATATGCTTTTTTTACAGCAGAAGTGAGAAAAATAAGATCAAAATTAGTAATTACCTTCCCTTATTTATGTGAAGAGATTGAGGGTTCATAAAAATACATAAATAAATAAATAAATAAATAAATCTTGGTGTAATTTTATTGACATCAGGAGACTTGTGCCATGCACTAGTCTGATTTAAGACCTACAAAAGATCTTCTTTTCTTTCTTTTTTTTTTTTTAAACAGGATTTGAGGTATCCTAAGTATTTCTCCTGGCACTAAGTAAAATTACTTCCATTACAGCAAAATGTGATTTTTTTTCTCCTTAATTTTTCACTCGTTATTTCAACTTCCTTCTTTTAAAACAAATGAATCTGCATTTAGAACTCACTTATGCTCTTTGCTTCTCTCTCCAGTAATTAGCAGTTGAAATGATGATTATGCATTGTATGAAATTATTATCTCCATGTTTCCTATGTACTTGCAGCTTCCTAGTAATTAGATTATGCTCCATGGTTTTGAAGTTTCAAGAATAATAAGGCTTAAGTGGTATCACTAGTTCAGTATACCGTTTTGAAAATCTATCAGCACCATTAAAATGGCAAGATGGGCGAATGCAATGCTTTTTCACCTCCTTGCCCAAAAGCACCAATGTTATGATCAACTTATATTCAAAGCCCCATCACGAAAGAGTTTAAATATTAAACTACCACTTTTCACACTATCTAGAACTAGATGTATTGATAAGAGTCTAAAGCCAGATATGCTGACTTTTGGTTAGAGAGCACTTTCAGACTTACCTCTTTACTCACTTTGCCGTATTTTTCAAAGTTTAATGGTACTATAGTTAGATGTGGACATAGCTTTTTAGCAATAAATCCAGGCATGGCTGCACGTACACCAAATCTCCTAGCATGGTAATTTGAGGTAGACTTAGGAGAGATTAAATAAGTTTAGTGTTCAGTAATCAAGTTTTTCCTGAAGTTCAGTGTTAAATAATCAAGTTCTAGTCACATATCTCCACACAGGAAAGACTGACAAGGCTAAGAGTTTATATGCATTGCCCGCCCCCCCTTTCAATCTGTTTACATCCTTTAAACTTTCACCAGTACACTTTTTACTGAAAAATAAAATCTAGCTTACATGGTCTAGTCTAAGACATGTTTTCTCTATTAGTTTTGTCATTTTTTCCACACTTATAAAAATTCTCTATATAACAGTGTCATATTATGTTATTATTGTATGGTTTATTATGCTTTAGATTCATGTAACTGATTTCTGTATTAGCTTGACATTTGGCCTTACCAACATACTCATCGATCCCACTGCTATAGGCTTTTCCTTCAGCTCTGGATTGTCTCTCATTTCCACAGCTGCGTAGAAGGCATCCATGTCAATGTGTACAATTGTACTGCTAAGGTTACGGCTCTGTTCCAGTTCTATCACAAGTTTGTCCACCTGAACAGAATAAATCAGTAATTGAAAAACTATTAACCTGGCAGAAGTGCAACAGTACAGATGATCCTAAAAACTCAAATGCATCTGGCATATAGTTAAAAAAAAAACCCCAGTAAACCCAAACCCCACCAAACCAGCACCAACAAAAAAACTCCAACCAAGTTTCTGATTAAACTTGCTCTTAGAACTCTGCTGCAGCAAATGGCACAAAAAAACCCCCCAAAACCCAATGAAAAAAACCCAACCCAACAAACAAAACCCCACCTTTGTGAGGAAAAAAAAAAAAAAAGATACATCATCTGATTCAGACAGAAACTTTATAAGACCATTGAATATGCAGATTTGGCTACTGTGATACAGCTTATTTTAAAAAAACAGAAAACATGGTATTAGAGAATTTCCAACACTCCTAAATTAAGCTATCATACTTCAGAAAATTGCCATAGACAGTTGAGGAGAACACCAACAGCTCACAGGGCAGATCCATCTACCTGACCTGTCAGAAATAAGGTCTCAAACAAACAGATTCATTTATTGCTAAGTAAACTACTGTTAATCCCTTCATGAAACTCCTCAGTATTTGTTACAGGAATCCATATCATATAAGGCTGGATTGCTAGCAAAACTGCAAGGTGACTTTTAATGAAAAGTCCATACATAGGAAGTGCGTTTCACTGCAAGAGTTCAAGATGTATCTTCTACTAGTAGACTGTGAGTGGTACTCCTGCCTCATCAGCTCCATGGTGTTGTGAGGCAGAAGCCAAGCACAGAGACCACTCCATGAAATGTTTTAATTGTGCTTAATTTGTTTGCATTCTTTTACTAAAAGACTTGCAGATCATGTGCTTGTTTCTGAAATATCTTTCAACTATGAATGAGGCACGAACTGTCAGTGTCACCAGAAAGCATGAGTGCATTATTTGACAGGTGATTTTTAAGGTCTACTGATTTAAGATGTCTATGTTGGCAGTACCACATCATTCTAGAAGCGAAAGAGAAAATATGTAAATATATATATTAAAAAAAGTGCTATCAAACTATGATTATCTAACCACACTAATGACTATGCTAACCTCTATTTACACAACTAAAGAGTGCTACTGCTAGAAAAATACCCAACAAATAGGCATAATAGAGCTCAACAAATGCAAATAGTGAAAAGAACTGAATTTTCACTTCGCGTACAAGCACAAGGACACACACACATTCATGACATCAAAGTACCATTACAGAAATGTCTCTTGATTGATTGCAATGGGTTTAGGGTCCTAGACAGGAATGTTTACATGCAATTTGCATGGTTACTTGAAGACAGTTTCTCTCTTTCTCCCCTTGACAGAGCTGCTTAATAAAAAACATAAAATCCTTATCGGAAAAACCCATCTTTGGAGCTGAAGATACTGAAACCAAGGCGAGTGGCTAGGAATGTTCTAATTAAATTGCTGGGTAATGATTTACAAAGTCTTTTCTCTGTTTTGTTCCAAGTAGATTTGAGGGATGAAAGGCTAGAATGGGGCCTCAAACTAGGCTATTCCATACAGAAGAGCACAGTATGTTGCCTGAGGCTGAGAAAACTGGTTTAGACAAATTAAAAGCACAACAGGAAAGCCATTCAAACAGCAACAAAAAAATTGGGGAATTTACATTATTGTCATTACGCTACTAATTCAGCAAGGATTCAAATCACCGTATAATCATGAGAAGCATCCTTATTTTAAACTATACTTTACAGATAATTTTCAGGTTACTCTCAAATTCAAATTGCTTAATTAATTCTGTTAATTGCTCCTCCAGTTACATAACTTCTGTATTTCAATTTATCACATTTATAACAAACTTTTTTGGTTTTTTTCTCCCCAAATGTATTTCTAACATGATACTTCCTGATCAGCTAACATATGTACCTAAAGAATGAAATAAAATTACATTAAACTAATCAGAAATACAAAAACATAACTCTTCAGCAAAAGCAACTGATACAAGTAATATGCCAAAACAAAACACACTCAGACGTACTCAGGGAATTCTTGACACCTACAAATGTTTCCTTGGTAAGATAAGGAAAGTTAGAGAACAGTTCCTTAGAGACAAGCCAGATTGACCAGTTTTTAAAAGCTGCTTTCAATTTTCCTTTGAAGATAAAAAGAGATACTAAGTTTTTTTATTTCTAAGCTAGATGAAAAAAAAAAAACTAAAAAGTACAAATTGCAATTAGAAGTTTAGTTTTGCTTATAGTGACTTCCAGACAATTTAAAGAGTAACCTCTCATTCTTTCTTACGCCATGACACAAAATACAAGTTTTCTATCTTAAATTGCTTTGTCAAAGTAAGACAGAAAAGATTATTCAAAATCCTTTGTATCTGTAAAAGCATCTGACAAAGTGAAGAGATAACAGTGATACCATTTTAACACAACAGTAACTATTTACAGAATAAACATCTGGGATAAAACCCACATGGATAAAAATAGCAAACATCAGTACAGCAGTTTACAAATCTGGTAGCAGCTGGATACTTTTTAAAGTATTGTTAACTACTGCTGAATTTCAAGGAATTCCACTCTAGGTTGTCAGCATAATCTAACTCTGTTACAGAAAAGTTTTCAAAACTTAAGAATTACATGATACTGTACAGTATAGAATTTCCCTTAAAAGAAGACAATGACATTCATTAGGAAAACTTCAAACTACCTTTCACATTAAAGATTATTTTAAAAAACACTCCAATAAACAAACAAACAAAAACCCAAAGAAATATTTGTACACAGAAATGGCAGTTTTAAGAAGACTTATTTGCAAAATCAATGGTCATAAATGCCCTTCTGCAAAGGTGGCCTAAGGAAAACTGTAAAAATATTAAAAAATGCCATCACAAATTCCTTGGCACACACACACTCTAGTGGTGAGAAAGACAGCATTACGTTGCAGATTCTACACCTTATATTACTGTTTCCACCATGTAACCAGGATTTTGTCCAACAAAGCCAGTTAATTGAGGAATTTTTTTGTTCATTTGTTTTTACATTACAGCACTTACATCAACTGCCAGCTTAGGAAGCTGTATCTGAGCCTCTAACCATCCTACAAACAAGACTTGATCTGCAGATGAGAACTTGCAGCATTCATAGGAGTAGATACATGGATACCTTTGTAATTCTGGAGTACCTCCCACTTACAAATTTTAGGAGAACAAATTCTCTCATGGCATATCAGAAGGTAGTATTAAAAAGAAGAGTTAAAGAACTCTGTAGACAACAATAAAGCAGAAAAGAAGAGAGATGACTGTATCCATATGAAGAGCTAGAGAAGCCGATTAAACAACACACGGCACATATTAAGAAAACCAAATAGGACAAACAAGACTTGCAAAGTTAAAGGTGGATATAATGGCCTGGGGAAGACTAGTTGGCAGGTAAGTGATAGGAAAAGGGAGAGGCATTTAGGCTATCAGACACAGAGAGATAATGACTGGATGGGCCAGGAGACTGGGGACTTCAGTGGGGACTCTTGGTTCATAGACAAGCACTGTGTTGGAAAGAGGACTGATGGTATTCTGGGGATGTGGGACAAGAAAAGGAAAACTCTGAATAGGATAAATTAAAAGAAAGGAGAGAAGAGAGCAAAAGGGTCAGAACTTGTGATGAAGAAATAAGGGCAAGAACAATCATGAATCAGAGCTTAACTGCATACAGAGGATGGAACCAAAATCCAAGATTTCAAGATGGTTTTATAGCTGCAAGGATCCAAAATGAGCCAGCAAAAAAGTGTGCGTGTTATCCCCCTCCAATGACAGTTCTCATGCAGTATGGCAGCTGACTTAACAGGTACTCCATTGGAAATAAAGATGACTGGTATTTGAGCAAGTGGCATAAAGATTTCAAACATGGGGTTTGAAACTCAGGTCCCAGTAAGACCCACATGAAAGAATTTCTCTCTTTTTTAAGCTGCTTCTTTCTTCTGTAGAAAGCAATTTTCATAGAAAACATTAAAAGAAAATAACTTTATATTGCAAGATCAAAGAACTAAGTTCAAAAAAGGACAGCATGAGGGTAGTCAAAGCAATGCAAGTTTATTGGCTTTCACTATATGCACTATATAGTCTTTAACTACATAACCATACACTAATTTTATAGGATCTATGTCATTCATGTCATTCATTTTATAAGAAAGACTGTTCTCTGTAAAATGAAAAGTTCTGTGGTAAAGGAAGGATGGAAATGGAAGTATTTTTTCATAATTAAGTGACTTAAAAGATACCCCAGAAAAGTAAAAAAAAAAAACCAAAAATGGACAAGCAGAGATGTAATTGATCCATGTTAAAGATTAACTAAAACCAGTTGATGCATACAGGCTTAAACCAAACCTTTCAGAGGTATGCAGTAATTGCAAGCTTTTCTGGGCACAAACTTGAGATGCTGGCATTTAATTTACAGAAGTGTTTTGCAAATCTGCAATGAACAAAAAAGGATTGTACACCAAAGCTCAGGACCTGTAATCCTCACAATGGCATTCGAATTAATGGATATGTTTAATCTTCATGTGCTTCAGCTCCTCATCTACAAAACAAAAATATCACTCTACTTTGCTGGAGTATTGCAGAACAATTTAAAGAATTCACACGATGTGGTGTACAACATAGAAAAGTCTATGAGGAAGTCAGTAATTCTGCATTCAAAGCTGGATTAGACTAGTGTACAACAAATAAAGCTTGGGCCACCCATTGAACAATGAGGACAACAGTAAATATTGAATAATTGCCCACTCAGTGAACACTGTCTGCACTGTGCACTGAATGAAGCAGAAATGCCGTTAGTGAAAAACAACAAGCAATCATCTAATTAAAGACTGAATCACAGTACAAATGAAAAAGGAAAGGAATTAAGCTTCTACAAGCAGCTTTAATTCTGTTGTGCCTAAGAATGTTTAGTGTGCAACCTTGGTTCTGTTGTTTTCTTTTAACAACCTTTCATACACAGTAATACTTTGGATACTATATCATTAGCATTTGAGAAGAGAACTAGCCTCTTCGCCTTTCTAGTTCAGGACACTTGTATTTCTTGTGACTGCTTGCCATGATGATTTTTTCATTAATTAGCATAAATAAGGAATAAACTATATCCAGAAGAGTTGACAACTGTGATCTTCCTCATCCCATTGCAAGCCATTGAATACAAATATACATATATTATAAAAACAGAAAGTAAACTCAAGACTGATATGATACTTATGAACAAGCTGTTTAACAAAACTTTTACATAAACCATAATGACATCCTGTTAAACTGATCAGACTTAGAACAACAGGAATTACTTTGCTTCATTTTACTCATTTAGAGAACATTTCAGAGTGATTTTACAATCTATTCTTCTAGCAAGTTATTAAAATTACATCAAAACATCATGCACTTTTACTTGCATGACTAACATCAAAATAGTAGTTAACATTGTGCTTATGACCAGAATTTAATGCAATAAACTAGAACACACCAAAATGTTTACCATTCGCCATTTACTCCAAAAAGTCTTTACAAGCTTAGTACCTGCAGCTGTGCATTCAAGAGCTGTTGTGTTGTAATTTTCTCTTTTAGCTGCATCATTTTTTCAATTCGCTGGTTCACTTGTTGATCTTTTTTAAGTTCATTTTCATAAAATCTAGAACCCTGGAAGACAATTGCAAAAACACTAAAGTTTTTATTTGTCTTTTCCTATACACAACCACATTTGATCTTTAAATACAGAAAACATAAAACACAGTAACAGTTTCTAATGCATACTTTGGATTTTCCTATAAATGATACATAAAAGAGACCAGTGGTGCTTTACGTTTCTCTCCTCAAATGACACAAATACATTTCTCCTTCTCAGATCCCCTATACTCAGACGAGTATAAGGGACTACTTACAGAAATTACTATGTTTACTCATTCTAACACTTGACAACAAAAATTCCAAGACAGTAGACAAAAGTCAAACTATTCTTTGCAATACCTTCAAGTTAAGGAGTATAATACTCTAAATAAAGTTGATTTAAGCATTTTGCCAGACTTCTATATAATTTAATCTACATGGAAATAAATAATGACATCGCAAAAGTCAAATCCACTTGTAATGCTAAGTATTTCATTGACCACTTAATCTTGAAGGACGCTGCAGAATTAGAAGCTATTTGGAAGAGGATGATGAAAAGCAAATGGGTATAAAAAAGCCCTCTTGCTCTCAAGTACATAAGTGCTCCTTCAAGAAAAGGCATGTATAAAAGGAGATGTAATGAAAACATAAAAAGACAACAATCACATAGCGAATGTATAATGTGACTTCCCTTCCTGATTTGTAACAAAGAAAAGAGGGCATACAATGAAATAGAAAAGAGGAAAATTGAAAACCAGGAAATAAAATACTTTTCTTGCAACATCTGCTTAGCTCACAAGAGAAATAACCTTTACAGGAAGAGTCTTTTATTGAACCAACTGATAAAATCTGCAAAAGTGGACAAATTTTTAGCTCAAAGCCTCTGACTACCAAACTGTCACTGACGCCAAGAATTCAGCCATAGTCAAATAAGAATCTGGCATTTATATAAAAAGCAAAACCATCCGCTTTTTTAATAATGATAGAAAGGACAAATGGCAAGACTAACATGTCATGTCTCATTGCTTAGAAGAAATCTCTACTTAGAAGAAAATAGGGTGTGTTTTCTTTCAATATCAGACATGCATTTCTACCCTCTGCAATCAAACATGACTTGTTGAGACTCACTGAAAGAAATAAGTACCAAAATGTTGGTGTGGGAAGCAATCCAATACTTCAGATTGTTATTAAGCTGTGGGTTTTTTGAGTCTCCTGCAGTATTTCACAGTTGAAATGCTATAAAATCTTGTTGTAATACACTTGTGGGTAGTGTTGTAAGTTTAATTTTGAAGACTAAAGAAAACTTAAGAAAAAGAATCAACACTTCAGATTTCTCAAGCTATATCTGGTATTTATATTCTCTTGGTTTTTTTGACAGAAATATATTCTAATACATAGATGCCTGTGTATCAGTTCTGAAAGCCTATTTTATAGTTCATACTATTTCATCCCAGGAAATGAAACAGTAACTGTCCTGATAAAATAATTTATCCAAATATCATTATTAGGGATATGTCTGATGAAGGACTAACTTTTCAGGAAAGAGTGAACAGAATAAGTAGAAGAAACTTCTAATCAAGAAGGGGCTTGATAGCATATAAAGTATCATCACAGTGAAAAAGCAAGCAAAAAAATGTTTCCCAAATAACAGCTGTTTGTAGTATGTTTTCTGCTTCCCCCCTCCCCCTGCCCGGGCAGTTAACCACAGAGCAATAGTAGTCAACACAGAATTCATGAGCAAAATCTCAAGCACATAACCTAGGGCCATAGCAACACCAAATAAAATACATGTTTGTGCATGGAAAAGTAAGAAAACCCAGAGTTGCTCAAATAAAGTGTTATCTCCATATAGTTCTATGTGAAGACTCTCCAATAACAAGTTAGACGACTAATATTTCAGTGCTTTGTAGATTTGTGGGGTCCTCTGCGGATCTTTGGTACCAAGTTGCACACTACTGGCCACCTCTCTTGAATACTAAGACAGTCAAGAAGACAGGCAGTAAGCACGAAGAGATTCTACAGAAAGTACTAGAAAAACTTGATTACGTCAAATTCCCCAGTTACAGGAAGATGACCAACAGAGGTAGATTGGCTTGGCTGATTAATGGTGGGGCGGTGTTACGGGTTTGTGTGGTGGGGTTTTTTGGTAATGGGGGAGGGGCAGCAGGGGTGGCTCCTGTGAGAAGCTGCTAGAAAATTCCCTGGCTCCAAGTTGGACCCACCTCTGGCCAAGGCCGAGGCCATCAGCAACGGTGGTAGAGCCTCTGGGAGAACTTATTTAAGAAGGGGAACCTGCAGTGAGCAGTGGGATTGGAATGTGAGAGAAACACCTATGCAAGGTCAGTGAAGGAAAGGGAGGAGGTTGATGCCCCAGCAGCCTGTGGTGAGATGGCAGGCTGTGTCCCCCCAGCCCATGGAGATAAGTGGTGGAGCAGATTCCCACATGCAGCCCATGGAGGACCCCAGGCCGGAGCAGGGGGATGTCCCTGAAGATGGCCGTGACTCCATGGGAAAGCCCACGCTGGAGCAGTCTGTGCCTGAAGATCAGCCCAAGGAAAGGACCCACACCAGGGAAGTTCATGAAGAATGGCAGCCTGCAGAAAGGACCCACACCAGGGAAGTTCGTGAAGAACTGCAGCCCGTGGGAAGGACTCATGTTGGAGAAGTTCGTGGAGAACTGCCTCCCATGGGAGGGACCCCACACTGGAGCAGAGGAAGAGTGAGGAGTCCTCCCCCTGAGGAGGAAGGAGCAGCAGAGACAACATGTGGCGAACTGACCCCAACCTCCATTCCCTGCCCCTCTGTGCCACTGCTGGGGAGGAGGTAGAGAGAACCGGGAGTGAAGCTGAGCCGGGAAGGAGGGAGGGGTGTGGGAAACGTGTTCTAAGGTTTGGGTTTACTTCTCAGTATCCTTGTTTTGATTTGATTTGTAGTAAATTAAATTGATTTTGTTTCTTCCCCAAGTTGAGCCTGTCTTTTGCCTGTGACCATAAGTGGTGAGTGATCCCTCCCTGTCCTTGTCTCGACCCACGAGCCTGCCTTTATATTTTCTGCTCATCCCACTGTGGCCAGGTGGGAGGAGTGAGCGAGCAGCTGCATGGTGCTTTGTTACCAGCTGGGTTTAAACCATGGCAGGCAGGCAAAAAGAATGAAAAAGGGGAAAACAAGAGGCCTAAGGAAGCTGAAACCTTCACAATTACCTCTGGACAACTCTGTGATATTTAGGTACTGCTCTGGGCAAAAAGTGAGCAGCTAAGGATATATTCAGTTGTGTTCCTTCATGTCCCTTTGGATGAATCCAACAGGACCTCCTGGTACCCTAAGCTGAAGTCCCCCCCCTTCCTCCCCATACATGCGTTTCTTCTTATAAGATGCCCTCCATTTACACATGAGGGATAAAATTTGGGCAAGGGAGGAAGAGAGCCTTACGATACTGGACAACAGATAAAGCACCAGGAAAAGAGTAATCAAACCAACCTTGGTAGCTTCCATGATGATTTTGTTGATTTTCTCTTTATCCAAACCTTGCATTCCAGCTTTGTTATCATTGAGACCCATTCTAAGTAGAACACCATCATTGCAAGAGCTGTTACCAACTTTTTTCATGTCGTCCACAGTACTTCTTGAAAACAAGTCTTTTAAGACTTAATACCTGAAAAAAAAAAGAATTTAAATCATATATTTGTTTCTAAGTTCCAGCTGAACAATAAGAAAAAAAATTACAGCATTCATTAACTGTATTTATTGAACAAGCACTTTATACTTATTCAGAAAACAACATACTTATCAAAAATATGAAGACCTGTATTCCTGTAAACCAGCTGACCTGCCACGCTGACCACATAAAACCACCTGTAACTCTATCAGTGTTTGGAGACAGTAAGACTTTACTTTTTTATTAACTTAAAAACATACTCTCTTAAAAGCTTCCTTACAGAAATAATTGAGTACCACCAACTTCAGGTAAAGGCACATGAGATTTATGCCTGTATGTTATACTGTCAGATGAAACAATACTGCCTTCAACACAAAATACTGCTCTTTAGGTTATTACATTAAAAGAAAAGAAATTAAATTATTTCTAAATTACAGAAGACCATTGTTCATTTAGTCCTCATTCCTGCTTGAGACAAGCCATAGAATCCTTCCCAGTAATTCTGAGCTCAAATTCAAAACTTTTCTTTGTGTTAAAGCTCATCTTTTAGAAACAGATGGCTTCAATTACAAGTTTTTAATAAAACCTTATTGTTTAATTCAGGGTAAAATTAATGCTTTTTTTTCCCCATTAATTTGTAGAGCCATGGTATGCAACTAATAGAACTTACCAAGCCTTTACTATTCAATTACTGCCATCAGTAATTTCTTGTACCATGCATGTACTCCTGGTATGTGAATTTCTGACATCTTCCCTTGCTGCTTATGAAAGTAAATAGCTGAATCCTTCAACAGGCTCTAATTAGATGGTAAATTGTCTAGTTATTAAATTGATCTTAAAAAACTAAAGAAAGGAAGTTTTATCCTCTGTAGCATGAACCTGTGGTCTTCTTTTTGCCAGATTAAAACAAGCAGAATACAAGTGTAATACTGGCATAAATTACTTAACATGTATTTATTACTGGAAAAGCATACAGAAAGAATTTCTTCCTACCCGAAGTTACTGACTCATAAATCACTTCAGATTTACTCTCACGCAGGAAGCACATTCACTCCTAAACTTCCCCTTCAAGCAGCTCCCTGTGACAGGAGCCCTTCCTGTTTGGAAGCACCACACCCTTTCAGGCACATACAGCAGCTCTATTAAACAACCACAAATTACACAAATCTGAGTCTCACATTTTTTCTTTAAATGCTGCTTTCCCACTCCAGGGCTTAAGTGGGCCTCATTAGCAACCAAACCAAAGAAGGTCACTATGTACTTTTGCATTTAGAGATGAATATTTGCTATTAAAGAACCACATGGGTGACTTTTTAAAATTAATGGTGGCAATGTTCGTATTTTCCTGAAGACCTTCTCCTGAAACATACTAGCCAACTGAAGTCAAGATATTAAAGAACGCCATCTTTAAAAAAGATCTGTGACAAAAATATCCCAATTTTAATCATATTCTATTAATTCAGATTATTATTTATGATGTCTTCCGAAGATGCAAGATCAGGTAAGTAATGCTGTGTTTATCTTCAGCTGGTTGTATTTCAAAGAACAGAAGGTGATGCAGAGACCAGAACTCTTCTCTTGACCCTTTTAGTAGCACTTAAGCTACTATAATGGCAACTAGGAATGGCTTCATAGCCCTTACACGTATCTTATCGAATAAAACACCACAATCACAAACATTTTCATAAATTTTTCACCTACAGTAGGACAATCTCTTACAGTTAATGTACACATTTACCAGAACAACGTTTGCTAGACTTCAATCAAAGGAAAAAGCACTGCATCCCACACAACATTCCAAGTTTCATGTCAAGATCATAAGCACCCCCATATCAATTAGCTTCACAATAATTCCATTGTTACTGGCAATCTCTGGTAAGTGTTGGGCACAATTCCCAATAAATACTTTCCTCAAGGTAAATGCCCCTCCACTATTCCCCCCAGTTTTTTTATCACTCCTTCCCTTCAAGAAGCTGGAATGAACACAAGATTGCTTCCATTTCCTCTTCCAGTCTTTGCAACAATTTTATCTGTTCCTTAATTCCTGAAAGTGTCTTCTACTTAGCATATACAAATCCTTCCCCCTCCTCATTCAGATCACTCTTAAAGGCTCAGTTTTAAGGCAGAAGCTTTAAACACTAATTCATGTCAGTCAGAAGCTTTCTCTATCACACTGTTGTTAAACCCAGCGAGAAAAATACTACCATGATGATACCAGTGATAGAAAAAATAATTGTCTTCAAAAAGTCTCATAAATGGTGGTCTCCTGATGTGTTTTATCTTTTCAGCTTCTTGTGTGGAACAAAATACATTGCTAGTACCAGATGATAAAGTGTATAAATATCAAATAATACCTTAGCTGGAACTAAGAAGAAAATATTTATTTAAGGACGTGATATTAGTTCTCCACCAAAGCTTAAAGGTGTACAGAAGGGAAAACATAAGTAACAACTGATAAAATTTTCAGCCACTTAACATGAACAGAACCTGGATATTATCTTGGTTTCAGATTAACAAGCCTGAAAAAAAGAAAAGTAAAATATTTAGCATATTGAAGTAAATCACAAAAACTACAATAAGACAACAGATATAATAGCACTGTCAGATAAAACCATTATACTGTCACCTCAAGAAGCTGCTGCAAGACTGAGCTGTTTCCTCTAACAGAACACATTAGATCTCCCTCAGCATCATACTGAGTAAGTAGGGTGTGAAATCAGAGAAGTCTGTGAAGACAGCCTACAATGAAATACTATCTTATTATTCCTGTGATTTGGGAATGGGAGAAGGGAGCAGGAGAATCCTAAGTGGAGGAGGTAACTTTCCAATTGCTACTGGAAGGACTTCTAAAGGTAAAGAGGAAGACTTTGGCAGTGGATGCCAACAGTTAATGCAAAACAAAACAGTGGAGAGGAACCACAGAATGGCATTACTATGTAGGAAGCTTTGTTAGTAACTTGGGATGCTTACAAGTGGATAAAGACCCCTAATAAAACCCCTATCAAGCTCTTCTAGGAGCAAGCACAGAAACTCAACTGAACTGGTCAGACAGGGTTATATAGTATTTGAAAATATCAAGAGACTGAAATGGCAGTAAAATCAATTTAATTTCAAGTGCCTCTACCTTTATTCAAATCTAGCATATTTTTGGACAGTTGATTGAAGTAGCCTGAAAGAAACAGCTTGTATTTGATCCTGTGCCACTCCTCCAGCCTGTCCTCAGTAAAAATCCTCCAATTCCAGCAACAGAAACCCTGTATGTTGTGTGAAAACTTAAATGCCTTCATATTATTATTTTCATGTAATAAAATAATACATAAGAAAATAAAAAATACTTCTAAGAATATTCAGTTCAGTGGACACAGTGTTATTACGCAGGTTATTAACACTTGGAAAGTATGTTAACAGCTTGCCTTTTATTGATAGCGTTAACAACTTGTTGCAAAGAAATATTAGGGCTGGAAAATGATACCAGTATGGAAAAGCTTGAAAAAGAATTTATTTACATACTGAATTATGATTTGATGCATGTAAATTGTGTACCAGTCCTCAAAGAAAATCAAATTCTAACACCTTTGCTATCACAGATGCTCATGCCAACAGTGAGATGCAGAGAAGTTACTAAGATACACAACTGCCTACTTCCCCCAGAGCTCAAAAGCTAAAAATAGGAATCAAGACATATATTACAGATATAAAGGACCATCTTTTACATCCCAATTTCCCTGAGTAAGTCTCGACAGTGTGTAAAAAAATACTGATGTTGCAAACAGAAACACAATTATTAAAGATTCCTTTCTATATGATTATTTAATTATTATTTTTAGGATGGCTAAAACAAGGATCTAAATTAAATAGTTTCTTTAATTTCTGTAAAACTTATAAAGCCTCCAATAACATTTCATCAAAATCTGACACCTCATTTATTGTAGTATGAGCCCAAAATAAACTTCGTATTTTCCCTTGATTAAAATGTTTTAGAGATTCCTTTATTTAAACGCTTCTATTCTTACTTTAGCAAGAACAACAAAAAAAAAATTATAACAGCTAACTTCACATACAAACATAGAGAATGGATGAAGGGATAGCTTCAGGAATCCTGTCATTACGTAAGCTGCATCAGAAGAAAATCAGTATTACCTTTGATTTCAATGACAAGGTCAAGATGTTAATATGAGTTCTGTAAAAGCACTGAAAGCACAATAAACAATTTAAAAAGTTAGGACTTCATCCAGTTTTGACCACAAAGGATCACTTCTCTGGCTTTTGGCTAAAATCAAGTGTGGTATAGTATGGATCACTCTACATTCAAAAGATAAATGCCTCTGAAGTTAGTACTATACAAAAACCATCAAAGATAAGAAAAAGACAAAAAAATTCCTTTCAAATATCGATATATATATATACTCATGAGATCCCTGGTCTTTTATTTTTCTTATGAAAACTTACAAATGACCCATTCTCAAATACTACTGAAGTTCAGACTGCTTGGTGCAAACGTGGGATGGAAAAATTTCTTCCATAAAACAATCATTAAAATCACATCCATGTAGAAGGTGGTTGTGAATGATATGGAACTCCTAGAACACTTCATAAGTGTTCGTAAGATCCTCAAAAGTCAAATATGAAATATCCAGGTTTAACACATCTTCAGTAAAAGGGTAATTCAGTAGTTTAAGACTCTAAAAGAGGCAATTTCAGTTACTTCAAAAAATACACTTGTGATAAAACTTTGCTGGGTCACCACCTCACCGTAACACACACTTAAGCCAACCAAAAACCTCATCATCCAAGACAAGCAACATGAGCGAAAATAAGCAAGCTGGGTAAGTGTGTTTCCCTAGTGAGAATGCTACAAAAAAGAGTTAATAACCATTCTTTGCAGTCACTTTCTTTTGTATTGAGATGGAATTAAGCTTACTGTCCTAAGCAGCTTCCTCTACCAAAACCCATAAACTAATGAGCAGTTTCTATCCTAGATCTCAGACAGGACAACT